GGCGGTTTAAGTAGTAACCAGCACGCTCTGTAGGCAGCTTCTGACAGCGGGGGAGACGGGAAGCTGGGCTTGTCGGTAGATCCAGGCATCAGGTGAGTATTAAAAAACAAAAATGTTTTATTTTATGTTCCTGGGGACATGTAGGGCTCATTCACACTGGAATCGGCCGCCACGTACAGCTCCGTGCTGTGTGCACAGCCGTATCGGGCAGCTCCCGGGAAGGACAGGTGCTGCGTATGATTAGTATGCAGCCCCTGTCCTTCTCTATGGGTGTATGCAGCCGTACACCCCCCTACGCTCACCCGCCCAGCACGTCCGTACGGGTGCATGTATCCTTGCTCGGACACAGACAGGATCCATCCTGTCAGCATACGGGTACGCTCACCCGCACCGATGTACAGGACAGGTGAGCGTATGGCCGCGTAGTCACATAGAGAAGAATGGGGGCTGTGTACTAATCACACGCAGCACCTGTCCTTGCCGGGAGCTGTCCGATACGGCCGTGCACACAGCACGGAGCTGTACGTGCCGGCCGATTCCAGTGTGAATGAGCCCTTAAAAATGTTCCTGGATTTTAAAAAACTGGTCACCTTACCCTGGTAGTCAGTGGGGGCTCTGGTTGGTAGTGAGGGCTCTCCTGTGGCCGCACCAACCAGTTTGCCCGCAGTAGATCCCGTCACTGAACCCCCTGCGCTAAATGAAGCCCCCGGCCGCAGGTGCAGTGGCTCCCTCCACCGCCTCTCTGCCACCTGCACCGCTACAGATGCGGCTCTCTAATCGCGCAGCCGCTCGCTTCTCAAGGGTATACCGAGGTGATCCGGGCTGGCTGGAGCAGGCAGATGCGGCCTTCTAATCAGGTATGTTAGAGGGCTGCACACTGGGGCCTCCCGAGTACCCCTTGAGGAGTGAGCGGCCGCACGATTAGAGAGCCGCATCTGTAGCGGTGCATGTGGCAGAGAGGCGGCAGAGGGAGGGAACCATTGCACCTGCGACCGGGGGCTTCATTTAGTGGGGGGCAGGGGGGGTGGCGCCCGCGGGCCCTCAGCTGGTGGAGGGGAGGGGTTACAGGAGAGGGTCCTCACTCACGCTGACCCACATACCAGGATGTGGCTGTGGCTGCCTGCAGAGACGGATATCGGCTCCGCCTCCACCAGGCTAACAGTGATCACTGTCGTGATCACAGCCGCCTGTTGTATTCGGATCCCCGCACAGCACACACACCGGAACATACAGCTGTCCCTCCGTGTGTGTCACAGACTTGCAGTTCATTGTACAAAGTTTTTACAATAAACCGCAGTAAAGTCTGTGACATGCAGCTGGAGGAGGGACAGCTGTCAGTACACACTGCGGGACGTGCGGCTGCGGCAGAACGTGGATGGAGAGTCGGGACACTAATCTCGGGGGTGGGGGCAATTGCCCCGTTGCCCCCCCCCCCCTGG